GAGGGAGGTGTCCGCGGGTGGTGCTGGGGAGCATCACCGCCGTCGGTGAGCCCGGCGGCGTGGCCCCACGCAGCCTCGCCGCACCGCGCACGGCCGAGGGGCACGGTGCCCTACGCTGCGTGGCTGTGGGGTGTCGTGCGGCCGGCACACCTGCTGTCGGTGCGCCCAGCGCCGCCCCCATGGCAGCGCCCCGCCGGCCGGGCCGCGGCTCCCGCCTTCACACCCGCCACAGCATCACCGGGCCTCGCCGGGCGGCCGGCCTGGGCCGCGGTGGCCTGCCCGGGGAAAAGCTCAGGCAAACCAGCCGTCCCGACCCAAACTTGGCACGGCCAGTGTTGCCAGAGGTCATGCAAAAATCTGGGGAAACGGTCAAAGTGGAAACAAGTAAACAGCAACATGGAAGCTGGAGCGGTATTGGGAAGCACAGGGTTGCAAAATTTCCATCGAGGCGGCCTTTTTGTCAGGGTATTGCCTCTCATTTGTTCATCCTACCACTCAAAAGAATAAAAGAAGAACGTCTGTAAGATGATTTGCCTTTTATTGACTTTCAGTTGTCTAATTTGTTTTCATTCCCGTATTAATTAGAATTAATGTATTTACGCTTAGCTTCCGGTAGGGTTATGTTAACTAATTGACTGTGAGGCTGATGAGAAAACAGGAGCATCAGCTGGTGGCAGCTGCTAGGAGTGAGAAATAGCTCTCCGAGAAGCCAGTTTCTGGAAAGAGGAGAATTTGACACAGAATCCATTTATCGACTATTACAGGATCTGTTAGCTATTCAGGTTTCACTTCCCCAGCTAAAACATGTACACTTTTTGTTTTAATGATCGTTTGTAGTGTGTGTAACTCTTAAATAGCCTTTATTTAGATGCATATTAAGCGTTACTGTATATTAGTAAAATTGGGCTTTAAGGAAACGAGGAGTAAGGTTGGTGTACATATTTGGCATAAGCTTTTTGATCAAATAAAAGTTTCTACAAAAGAGCCTTTTTTTAATTGTATCTATTTTTGATTGAGCAAGCTACACGTCTATGTTAAAATAGACATGAAGTAAGTATGCATGTTAAAGTACATAATTTGGCTTTAATATATATGCGTGTGATTTCCCACACGCATTTTTTTGGGGGCAGAAAATGCATTTGGCATTTTTTTGGCAGAATCTGTCTTTATTCTCCCCAAGTTATTCTTGATAGTGGAATTCATTGTTGGTAGTAACCTTGCTTAAAACCTAATGTAACTGTGCCAGCAATTGCCATGGAACAACCCTAAAATATAAATTTAATAGTAACCTAAATAAAAATAATTAAATCTGAAACATTAATTTCATTTGCCCTCTAATGCTCGATACCTCATCATGCCAAGGACAGGACTTAAAAATAGGTCTCATTCTCTCTTTGTCGTTTCAGTTGGACGCATTGTCTTTGAATTATTTGCTGATGTTGTACCTAAAACTGCTGAAAATTTCCGTGCGTTATGTACAGGAGAAAAAGGAACAGGGCCTACCACTGGAAAACCTCTCCATTACAAAGGATGTCCTTTCCACCGAAGTAAGTTCTATGAAATCCTTTCTTTTCCTGGTGGTAACCAAAGTCCTCCATTATCAGTATTTGAAATAATTTAAAGTAATGTTTTGGAGCACTTGCTCAAGAAATAACTTGACTGAAAGTAAGTTTTTGACTTTTTGATCCTCCTGATAACTAGATGCTTTTACTATCTGTTAACAATAGTAAATTATAACTTTACTTGTAATTTAGTAAAACTAGTTTACCATGAGTTGTGAATAGGTTGAGACTGACGTCATGTAAAGCATTAAATATCAAGTGATGTCCATTTAACTGAAAAAGAGTACTTAGGGGAGACTTGATAAATAACAGGTAGGTTTCAGTTTTTTCCGTGGTGACAGGGATTGCTCTTCATCTCTGAATTGTTTTTCTTCATGCCTTTCCTGCCTTGCTGCTGTATTTTATAATTATTTTCTTTTACAGTTATTAAGGAATTCATGATCCAGGGTGGAGATTTCTCAAACCAAAATGGCACGGGTGGAGAAAGTATATATGGTGAAAAATTTGAAGATGAAAACTTTCATTATAAGGTACTTTATTGGAGATACTAATTGTGTTCAATTTTTGAGGTTTCAGTGATTTTTATTTTTCTTCAAGTTCAGAATTAACCCTCTTTAGTTCAAGGCTAACATATTTTTAAGCATTGGAAAGAATGCAGCAAGAAAGCCCCAAACTAGTTTGTACTTAAAGTCTTCGTTAAATACAGAATACATGTATGAATACATACGAAGGGAAGTCAACCGCATTAAGACAACTATAGCTTAAGTTTTCTTTTTAATTGCATCATCAGAAGTTCATTTTAAACAATTTTTTAGTTCTTGTTGAAGTAGGGCTCCTATTTTAAGTGACAAATTCTGTCACTTTGAAGCTTATATAGTATGTCAGCATTAAATGGATTTCATGCTTTTTTTTGGTATACTAATAAAATTCATAAGATTAAATGTGAGAAATACCTTTCTGATTTAAGAAGTGTGGAACCCATGGTAAATTACAGAATTAATCCAAAGGAAAATGTAAAAGAAAGCATTTTCCCCACTACAGTTATTTTCAATGACATGAGAAGAAAAAGGCTGTTTATGAATGGCTTTTTTTTCTCACCAAAAAATGTTGGAAGAATGCGCAGTGAACAAAGCAAGCTTTTGAATATGCAAGGTCTGGATTTGAGGATGTTATTTTAAGAGATGCTGGCTTTGATGGCAGAAATTGCTGCCCCTTCCATTACGACTCCCACTCCCGTACCGGAGCTGACTGTTTCCTTCCCAGCAGCCGTTCCTGCCGTCCCACAAGCGGTGCTGTCAGCCCGGCTGCGGGAGGAGGGAACTCTAAAATGGTCTTTGTCCTCGAAATCAACACATAGTGACACCAGGAAGACTGCAGGTGCATGTACTTTACACACACAACAAGTACAATTTTTGAAAAGTTTTTTTCTCAGGTTGTATCCTGTGTCTTCTCTTGTTTCTTTTGCAAAGGCATAACCTTCAAAATGTCTGTTACCATTCTTCAGGCTTCTCTTTGTCATCAAAATAAAATGCAGTTGATGCCTCTAGGGTCTGTCTTTTGACATAAGATTGACTTCTCTTTTATGCTTTTGAAGAAGAAAAGTTTGCCTTCTCTGTTTTCAAATTTTTTAAAGCATTTGAGTTCTACCTTTCTTTAAAAATGGGTATTCCAGAAAGGAAAGACTGCTTTTCACCATACTGTACAGCAGGTCTGTGTACCTTAAGCCTACAATTTATACAGTATTTGAAGATCTCCAAATTTAAGTACTACCTGTGCAGTGTGACTTACATTTTTTGGCTCGCAGACTTAGCTATTCTGGAGAAAAGTGGCAACCACAGTAGTTGTTCTGGGTGCTCATCTGTGTGCTCAGCTGTACATAAAGGTCTGTGGCTGGAAGAAATCCCCTGTTCTTGAGCTGTCAGTAATCACATCTTGAACTTGGGCGGGAGTACTGCCTGGAAACAACAAAAATAAGATGTTCTGCAAGTACCCCATGGACAGCCAGGACACCTGCTGCTGTGGGTGTAACAATTCTCAGCACTGGCATCGACCATTTTCCTATTGTGTTACTATGTGATAGCAAATGAATGACTCCTCAACAACACTCACCAAAAAACTTACAGACATCCTTGTCCTGTGGTTAAAACAAAGCCCAAACTGCAATTATGCTTGCCTCTAAACAGTATTTCAGGAAAATAAAGTATGGCAATCCTCCACTAATCAGGCGTCAAAGTCCATGATCAAGTTCGGAGCAGTAACTGGAGATGTAGCTCCAGCATTCATCACAGTGTTAATGCCAGTTGTGAGGGATGTTCCCTGAAGTCTGGCGCTTGCATGGTGGTGCCTGTTTGTATGTTTCCTGTAAATTGCATTAAACTGGAAGACTTTGTGGGTAGTCAGTTTATGATGTCAGATCAATTTCAATAGGCTTTTTTTGGTGTCACTTCTGCAGCTAAGGGCTGTGCTGTTGCAGAACACCCAACTTACACAGTCCTCAAGCACTGTTGTTACCATGGCATAGTTTTGCAAGCCTTGAATCTGTCAGATAATCTGATTATGTCTGGACTGTTTTACTCGCTTCATAAGCTTACAAAATGACAAGCAGAAACCATCATGGGAAAGACACTCAATTTATCTGCAGTGTTTTTCCAAACACTCACAGCAAGAAAACGCACGAGTGTCAACAGTTCTGTTCATAAATAGGGACTCTCAGCAGGGGACTAATGTTGAGACGTGGTCCCAAATGAAATGGGGTTGCATGTGAGTATCAGAGCCACCAGACTGCTGTCTGTAACTTTCCAACTTGTCCTCCAAATCTTTACAGACAGTAGGGAAACCTGCAGGTGTAAGGCAACACCAGAGCTTATTGGTACTTGGCTCTTTGTTTACAAACCATTGCTGTTCAGCATTAGTTGTAATTGAAAAAAAAAAAAAAAAGGAGGGGAGATTTACATGTCTTATTCAGCTTCTTGAACAGTGAGTCAGTGACCAGCCTCACATGTTATTTGCAAGAATCTCCTATGGGGGTACCCTTTCTGTTTAACTTTTCAGTAATTACGATGCAAAATGTCAGAAGAAGACAAAGCCAAGATTATTCCAGTAGCCTTCTGCTGGCTTGGTGCAATTCTAGCTCTCAGCTGTACAACCTTTTCCCAGAGCTCCTGAGCCAAATCCTGGTTGAGACTTATTGTGCCCTATGACCAAATGAACACCTCAGGCATGGAGTTCTCTCTACTACCATGGAAATCCAAACACTGCCTGGGAATGCAGTTTTCAAAACAACGTGTTCTTCAAAGTGGCAGAGACCATAGGGACAAAACAGATGCTTAAATACAGCTGTCTCATATTGTTGTCTCAAACTAATCAGCCTCCCGTTGAGCTCAAGGTCTACTTCACAGCAATTTCTGCTTTCATTTCTTCTGCGCTGCTATACTTTTTTTTTTTTTCATCCTCCACTCCTCCCCACAATATCAAGTTTCCTAGGAATACCACAGCTTGCACGCTTCACTCATACCACGTCTTGGTGTAACATACTGACTTGAGTTAAACAAGGTTCCTTGCACTTAATAACCAGATCAACTTGGGGAGAGTAATTTCTTAATGACTGTGTCATGCCAGTTTAACAAGTAGAGTTCACCAACATATATGAGGAGTACATTTTTGCAATACAAGGGAAAATGAAATAATCTGTGTGATGGGGCAAGATAATTCTTATTTCAAAGAAGGAAAAAGTACTTATGGGAAACAAGATAAAACAGTAAATTTTTGTTAGTTTGTAGCCTGGTAGCATAAACCAAAACAATTAGATGGTTAAAAATCCCAACAGAATAAAAACTCTCTCTCTAGGAAAGTGAAGGGGTTAAAAAGAAAACCACCAACCTTTAAATAATAAAGACCACAGTCCCCTAAACCCATAGTTCTATGACATACTTTGTGTGAGTAGCACTTATAAAGTGAACAATACATACCTGCCTTGGCAGCTTAACATTAAAGTTGGTTTAAGGGGTGGTTTGCTTTGTTTCTTGAGGCCAGTGGTCTTGAACAATCCAGTGAGGAACTCCCCAGGTCTCTCAGGTGATCTGTCTAAACTCAGCAGCTGTGCTGGGGATGGAGTGTACAATGAGCAGACACAAGTTACAGCATCGAGTCCCACGTGTGGCTTTGCTTGCCAGACTGCTAGGTGGCAAGTGAAGATGCAGAGCTGGGCAATTTGCCCTCTTCAGTCACAATGCATAGAATCAGTTGCCAACTGTAACTGGTTTGCCGAATTGTCGTTATGGCTGTCCTTGCTATATACATTAATAGCCTTACGGAATCGTATGTACGGGTTTTATAACAGACCTTTTATACGTTGGTTGTGATTTTTTTCCCCACTGCAGCATGATAAGCCAGGGCTGCTGAGCATGGCCAACGCGGGACCTGGCACTAATGGCTCTCAGTTCTTTATTACAACGGTTCCTACTTCTCACCTGGATGGCAAACATGTGGTGTTTGGCCAAGTGATCAAAGGAATGGGCGTAGTTAAAATACTAGAAAACGTTGAAGTAAATGGAGAAAATCCTGCTAAGGTAAGCAAAATCCAAAGCACTTAGGGGTTATGTTTATTCTTCCATTATATTGTGTATATTAATTTCTTCTAAATGCTTGGTGTAATGTTTAGAGCTATTAAATGTTAACCAATTATTTTTACTAGCAGTTTTAATTTCCATTTTACAATCCTTCTTAAGAGGCTTTTGTTCTTTTGCTGTAAATTTCCACAAATGATTTATGCAACACAGCTGTAAGGGTAGAAGCCTTTCTCAGGGTGAAGGTGGAACTGCACAGCTAGAAGTGCAGGATGAGTGATGAAATTAAAAGGTGGAATTCACAACCCTACCTAAGTGATAGGTAATTATTATGAATTTTATGTCAGAAGTTGTATTTCTGTAAAAGCAATTGATGTGTAGGTCACGTCAGTTTGTGGTGGTTTGAAAAATTAATACTTTTGTAACTTTTAAAGACTTACCAGTTTGAGAAAGAACCGTCTTCTCTAATGGAGTAGAAATCCCATCCTTTGGCAGCTCAGCTTGGGGCAGTTCCTCTTCCAGCCTCTCCGTGGAGCGTGGGGATGGTGTTCTTGGACTGCTGCTCCTCTGGAGGCAACACTTCTGTGATAAAAGCCTTTTGATGAGGATAAGCTAATGATGTGATGGGTTTCTGAAATCAGCGCACCCAAACAACAGATGAAAAAGCATTTTTACTGAATTTCAAAGAACACTCAGAAGTTGTGGCTTTTTTGGGGGGAAATTGTCTTAATAATACTGCTATTTACATTTTATTTTTTCAGTTGTGCGTCATTGCAGAATGTGGAGAGCTAAAGGAAGGAGATGACTGGGGCATTGTTCCCCAGGATGGATCTGGAGATGTTCATCCAGATTTTCCTGATGATTCAGATATAGACCTGAAAGATGTAAGTATTTTTCTTTTAAAGTATTTTACAGAACGCAAGACTTGCAGGTAATCTGAGTTACATGGTGTCTATGATGATGTTCACTAAGCCTTTTTTCTTAAGAATTGATCAAGGTCCTGATCAAATGGTGACATTCAATTTTAGGAAAGAGAATGCTGTGGGAGGGGATTGCTGTCTCTTTTTTTCAGTGCTAATTGCAGCTCATTTTTTTTTCCCCCCCAGTAACTAAAAATGAAAATACTTACAATTATTACACTTAATTTCTTTCTGTTCTGTTTCTTTTTTTGTTTATGTTGTAGTGACAAGTTGCAATTACTAGAACTCCATCCTGCAGGTGGCTAACTTAATGTTGCATGTTTTCTGTGCAACTTTTAAAATGTTCACTCTTAAAAAGATTTTTTTTCTCACTAGAAATAATAAAAGATCAACCTTTTAAAAAGATTTTTACTACCTCAGAGCTAGTCGTTCTCAATTCCCAGTATTTGTTTGCTTTTCAAGTTGTTCAGACTGAAGGAAGACCTTTTGAGAATTAGGGAGCAGACTGGTGAAAGCAGCTCTTCTGCAGGTTTTACTTTAACATGAAAGAGAAATAGACAAATAGTGTAAGTCAAACAGTGTTTTCTGAAAGGGGAAAAAAAGGGGGCTGCATGTATAGATTCCAAATACAAAATTAGAAGTAGACTAGTAAAAAAAATTACAGCTAGAAATCTGAAACTCCTTGTCTGGCTATTGAGAAGCACTTCAGCTTGTGAAAATGTTTTTGGATAGCATTTGCTGTGGTTCAGAACTGAAGCTGGCAGGTGCTTGCCTCCTTTAACCTTAAACTTGTTCATATAAAGTAACTACAGAAACCGTGGTGACATTGGTCTCAAGCTGTGATCAGTTTTTTTCAAGGTCATTAATTCGAGTTTTACAAATGGCGATATATACATTTGACAGAGCTTAAGACAACTGTGGTACAGAGAGCAGTAATTCTAAACTATTTATTGCCACTGGAAAAGTAACTTAACACTTGAAATGTATGCCAGTCTGGAAACAGAAATGATGGATTTGATAAAGACAGGCAGTTGTTCTTTTTTTTCCTTCCATGTATGTTTTAAGTGTTTTGAGAGCAGGAGAATTGTGTTGCTACGACTTCTAGTTTGAGAGCGTGCAGAGTTCCGGTGACTAATAGCATTTTGAGAAGTAGAAGACAAAATTGCCTCAGGAATAAGGCAGTCTTGGTTGAATACTTTGATTGTTAACATGTCTTTTCTATGTATAATGGTCAACACCTTTATATATAGCTCTGTGTGGGTAGCAGCATTTAGGGGGAAGGAGTTAACTGCTGTGTCGTCTCTGTTATTTTCTCACCCTTTATACTGTAGAAAACTCATTAGGAAATTCATCTTTCAGACTGTTAGTTACATAAAGTGGAGAATACTATAGGAGTGGTTTGAAGCTAGTATTTGTCTAAAATTGGAATATTTTTATTCTGAGGTTTTTATAATAATCTTTGAAAGAGGATGGACATGGGATCCTACTGTTAAAACATGAAGTAATTCAAGACTTATTTCCTAAGTACATTCATACTTTATATTTTCCATCTATTTTATTAGGTTGACAAGATTGTGGCCATAGCAGAAGACATAAAGAATATAGGAAATACTTTCTTCAAATCGCAAAATTGGGCAGTGGCAGCTAAAAAGTATAGTAAAAGTTTACGGTAAGGCTATCATCATTCAATCAGGTAGTTCCTATAACCCAAGTTATTACTGCAATCAAGCAATGATATGTGTATTTAAGAAGTGCCAGTTGCTGTGCTCGTTACTTTTTCTTCCTTTTGTAAAAGAAAGCCTTCTGAATCTCAGAAATATCTGCTTGATTTTTAGCTACTTATTCAGGTAGGTCTTGTACTTATTGCTAGGTAAGAGCTATAGGCAGGAAGTATTGTTTAAAATGGACTAAATTTACTTTTTTAATACTCTTGCTCTGCTGGTGTATAACTGGGAAGAAAAGCACAATAGTCTAGTCAGGATAGTTAACAGACAGGAAAGGAGGGATTTCTCTGCTTTCTGAAAACAAGTAGGTTTAGGAAATGGTTAAGTTCAAGAGAGAGCACCCCCAAATGTGACCCTTATCAATTTTTTTTTTTTAAGGCTCCATACCATCATCCTGACTCCATGTATAATTCAGACTTACCTTTCAAATCATTGTCGTTCTGCTTTTGTTTCCATACTGCTCCTCTGCTCCTTTCTTCTTTTCATGCTTTTTGCTTTATGCATATGAACTGCTCGTAAAAACTTTCAAAAAAAAGTTATACTGACCTTTATCATGGCCGTAATGATCACTGGTTAATTAGTGGTAATTATAATGAAAGAAAAATAATTCAGGTGTATTTAATGCTTCAGCTGACTGGGTTTCAAACAAATCATGTCTTTCTGAAGCATAAAAATGAAGCCTTTAATTACAAGTATCAATCCAAGTCTCCTCCTGCCCTCAAAAAGCCTGTTATAGACCCAACAGAAACTGTGGACTGAACAGGATTTCTGTGTAATCCTTTTAGAAATTATACAGAAAAAAAGGTTGGGATGGCTGGAATGGATCTTTAAGGAGCTTTGTGTTGTATCTGTCCATTTCCTCACCCCATTCTTAGGTAAATATCAGGTATAATTATGCCATCCCTTACAATCAGTTGTCTTGCTTACTCTTAACCACACCCTATGAAGGCTCTCCCAGTTTGAGCAGGTGGCTTCTATTTGGTGCTTATTTGTCCTTGTAGATGGAAAGGACAGTAACTTTTCTAGAATAAACAAATCTGATCATTCCAGCTGTTCTTTATAGGTCATACTTTTGTCAACATGTCCTGTTGTTGTGTCTTAAAATCTCATACTTTATGTGGGATGGTGCACTTCAGGTGGCACTTTGCCAGGTCTGACAGGAACAGAATAGTTCTTATCATCTCCCACGTCTTATATACAGCTCACCTAGCAAACCCTCTGGCAATGCTGGTTTTTTTCTTGTTACAAACCATAACCATTATAACCTTCTGTTCTTTTTCTTGTCTTACTGCTGCTTAACCGTTTTTTTTTTTAATATATAAGAATGGACACCTTTTTGTTAAAAAATGTATTACTTCCTACTGTCTCCCTTGATATTCATCTTACTGATTTCTTTGGCTTGGAAGCTCTAATTTTGTTTCCAGAGTGCTTGCAGTCTTTAATGTTTTGGTGGGATTTATAAATATTAGTAGTGTATTCTGTTTGTTTTGAACACAGTTTTGTATTATAACTCTCCTTAGCTTTTTACTGCATTCTCTCTCTTCTGGTTTTCATTTTTTGCATGATGCCCAGCAAGTGGAAAAATCACTGTAGCTATGTCTAATTTACTTTTAAAATATTGCTTTTTTTCTGTGGTCCAAAGTTGTATACGAACCGTGCAACACTCAAAAGACAGGGCATGCAAAAAAATTGAATTTACATAGGCACTGATCTGCAAAGACTGCATTGATCATGGCATGCTTAAAATATAAGGAAACGTGATTTTTACTGTTTAAATAAAACCCACAGAAGTTCTATCAAGTAGGCCATTAGAAGTGTTAGAGCTTTTATATCCGCAACAGACCTCTGCCACTTGAAATAGATGTGACAGCATTAGCACTTTGTAAACGAAGAAGAATGAGCTAGAGCTTGCCTCTCTGTTTGTCTGTGAAATAGAGATGCAGTAAATGAGGGGGTTAGACCTCAGCCAGTGTCAGTTTTGAAGTTCAGGAAGAAAGTCATGAAGGAAGACAGCGGAGAAGAAATGGGAGTTACTAATGCTCATACAATGCCCTTCTTTACAAGGTGAAGTTAGCTTCAACTTTCGGCCATAAATGCCTAAATTCATTAAAATATTACTGAGGGAACTGAAGAAGAGTTGAAGGTTCCCATGAATGAGGAAGGTGCAGTGGTGCTGTTGACTTTTGGCCACTGATGAGCAATGTTTTTTGAGAATAAACAGTCATTGAAAGAAATTCTAATGCTTTCATGCCATCTAAAACAGTCCTAAGAAAAATAATGCTATTAGTACAGTGGAGGGAAAGGAGCTACAGGAAAACATTTGCCAATGAGTTCATCTTTTTTTTCAGGGTAGGTCTTAAATATTTAGTTTAATAAATATTTGTAATAGTGGAGTTGAATCTGCTTTAAAGGTACCAATTTGGAGAGGCCAGTTGACACCTCTCTGTGGAAGGATGGCTGAGGGAGGACAAAATGGAAGTTGCAATGCTAATACGTGTTCTTTGCAAATCTGTTCTTCTGCAGGTATGTAGAAGCTTCTGAAGCAGTGGCAGAGGAGGCAGACAAACCAAAGTTGAAGACTGTTGCTTTGACCTGCGTTTTAAACATCGGCGCTTGTAAACTAAAACTGTCGGACTGGCAGGGAGCCATCGAAACTTGTTCAGAGGTAAATTTAGTGCTTAGTGCTTCGATTAACAATGGGCCTGTAGAAAAAACGGAGACTGAAATGACAAAGTCTTAAGAGTTTTCTGACGAGCTTATGATTGATTAACAATGGGCCTATAGAAAAAACGGAGACTGAAATGACAGTCTTAAGAGTTTTCTGACGAGCTTATGATTTGAAAGTAAGCAAAGTGGAAGCTGATTGTGAAGCTGTTACTAACTTTCCAGTACGTTATGTGGCTTTTTAAAAAAGATTTTGGAATTGAAATTACTGATTGGAAACAAACAAAAGAGGGCTGTTGCTTACTGCCAGAAAAAGTGCACGCTGTCACCGTCAGTTTTGTTTCCTAAGAACAGAGCTAATTTTTCTATTACAAAGAATTAAACGGTCTTCAGTGAAAGAGGAGTGCTTTTCACTGGCAGACTAGTATGAGCAAAACATTTCACTTGCTTTTAGATTTGATGGTCTTGTATTTTGTTTGCTGAAGTGACTTTTCTAACTAAAGCCCTTTCAGGTAGGCTTAGTGGTGAAATGAAACAGGTGAACAGGAAGAAAGGAAACAATAGATAGGGAAATATTAAAAAATAATAGAATTGAAGAAAAAAAAAAGGAACAGCGATATAGACATACTGACAGAATTTAGTACCTTTGAGGAAACTTTAAAAACTCAGTCAAACTCTGAAATTTTGAAGGAAACGGAGTAAAGAATGCTCTTACCTGTCCGCAGAGGATCCTGAGCAGCATCTCCTAGGACTTCATGCTGAAAGCAGGAGTCTTGGCTAATCTGTGTGTGAGGAGAAGTCTTTGGAGAGCTGGGTTGCTTTCTAGCCTGCTGACAGCATTACCATGTGGAAAACTTTCATAAATGTATCTTCAGAATGGACAAATGGGGGATGGGGAGAGAAAAAAACCACACAAATACTGTGTAATGTGGTATCTGTCATCTAGAAAAAGGTAAAAACGGAAATACCATTTAAGTGTTACAGATATAAATTATTAATTGTAATACTTGCCACTGAGGAAAAAAAAAAACTTTTTTTTTGTTTCTTTAAGATTACAGAATTGTTAGGTAAAGGCAAGTCTATAGCTGTAACAGACTTCTGTAATTATTTAGCTTATGCCTCATCCCAAGTGTTAAACAGCATTTCAGTGCTTTAATCAGAACACCAGTTTCCTAAGATTAACTAGTAGAGTTCAAGGTAATTGCTAGTAAGAAACTATACATTTTTACTTTGATGATTTCCTAAGGCCAGAGGTGTTTTAAATTAACAATCTGTAGCTCGTGCATTTGGTGTAAATAAGGAACTAGAGTGGCTGAACCTGTTCAGACAAACCTTGCTTTAAAATAGCTGTAGGCACGATGGTTGAGCCAAAACCAGGGAGTGAGACCTGTCCCTACGCAGTACGGACACCTCGGTTCCCAGTTAGTAAATGAAATTAATAAGGCCACACATTCATTCAAAGAGATTTCCTCTAATCACTAAGAAACTGTATTCTTTAAAATAATTTTTAAGAAAATAAAAGGCACACTATAGAATTATCTGCAGTAAGAAAAAAGAATGTGATCTTTGCAGCCAAGAAAACGAAACACCTAGCCAAATTAACTGAGGTACTTTGAATAATTTAAGTAATCAAATAGCAGAACAGTCTCTGTGCCCAGCCATTGTATTTATTTCGATACTGTCATGTTAGAGCTGGCATATCCATGTTAGTGAAACCGTTCATCTCCAAAAAGTAAGGACTGGAACTTGGCAAGGTTCCTGAAGCCCGAGATGCGTTGCCTGCCTGTATCTTTAGAGCCTTCAGTGAAAAAAGCTTTACAGGAGATCAGCGTGTTTTCTTTATGATGCTATTTGAGGGTTTGGTTTTTTTTGTGAAGGAGCTGCATTATAGAGAGTTGTACTCTGAGAGTCAAGGTTAGGATAATTTGAACTGCAGCAACACCTTTGCCTGACAGATACACACACACACACATATATATATAAACATAGGTTCCATTTTATCCTCATACATGCTCATCCTTCACAAATTGACAGATACACACACACACACACACACACATATATATATAAACATAGGTTCCATTTTATCCTCATACATGCTCATCCTTCACAAAAGACTACTTCTGGTGCAGTGGCATTAAAACTGATGAGCTAGCTCTTCAGTGTGCTACGGTACACCAGTCCTTTTTTACACGGTTAATGTTTTGACAGCTTACCCTCAAACCAACTGGGGAGATTGTCTGCTGGTGTGAACTGTGCCATTTGTGGAGATGGGAGGCTGTGAAGTATGTGAAATGTTAATGCGACAATTTTATTACATTTACAGGCTCTTAAAATAGATCCAGCAAATACTAAAGCTCTCTACAGACGGGCTCAAGGATGGCAGGGAATAAAAGATCTCGATGAAGCACTGGTAATGATCACAATATTTAATATATTTAAAAAAAAATTAACAGTTCATCAGAACATTAATTTATATTTCTCTTATTTTAGGCTGATCTTAAAAAGGCTCATGAAATAGCCCCTGAAGACAAAGGTAAAATAAAGCAGTTTCTTTATTTTTTTTTTTTTTTAAATGTAACAACCAGGGTAGTATTTCATAGGAAATCTTACCAGTGTGATGCCTAAAGTGCTGACGTGCAGAGCCCACTTAGGTGGAAAACCCGTTTTTATACAGCATCTTGTATAAACCATCTTCCTATCTCACAGGGGTCTTTCTTATGAACTTTCTTAATTTAAGATCTTAATTAAGATTTTTAACTCAAATTCTGCATTGGCACTGATACTACGCTAGTTACACCCTCCTCTACCTGGGTAAGGGATGAGGGTTTGTTGCTGCTAGTGTCTGACCTAAAAAAAGATGAAATGCAGTCTGTACACATCCGGAGAGCTAATGTAAAGAGGTTACTCACCTGTGTCATGGATGTTCTTTCTACGCAGCCATCCAGACGGAAACGCTCAAAATCAAGCAGAAGATAAAAGCCCAAAAGGAGAAAGAGAAGGCAGCTTATGCTAAAATGTTTGCTTGATTTTTTTTTTCTAAACTCTTAAATCTATGCACTAACTCATGCAAAAGGATAAATGGAGCTGCTTCTTTCATTTGCCCTGTACTGCAGTTTTCAGTGTTTACAACTCAAAAGTCTAATAATAAAGACAAACTGTTCAAAGGTGATGTGCTTTTCTTTTTTTAAGCTGTAATAACTCATGTTTTGTCACTCAGGTGTGCGTCTGACAAGTAAATCAGTAGTGGTTGTGGTTTTGCAGCTTAATAATTAGTGCTTCCTAAGAAGCTTAGTTTAACACTAAGACAATTCAGGCAGTTTTTATTAAGAGTTTTTATTAGAGCAGGCCTGATTTCTTGTAAGGAATAAAAATGTTGGTAGACATACAATGAGGGTGCAAGTATTACACTTTTTTTTTTAACCACTTTACAGGTTGTATTGCAGATGGGCTCCCTATTATCATCAGGAAAAAAAAAAACACCTTAACTGTAAATTTGATGTTAAATGCGTAACACTTAAAAGCAGTGACAGTTTTCTAGACTGATGTATTTTCCCTACTGCAAGGTAGGATTACATATAGTAAATCACTCCAGATAGAGAGAGAAAAATCCTCTTTTTAAGGGTAGCTACTAAATTCTTCCACCATACCCACAGTTCTGGATATGGCTCATGTTATCACTGAACTTCAGCAATAAATCCAGGATCCAAAGTTCCTTTGTCAGTCCTCAGAAGAACTTTCTTCTGCCTGCCACACAACTCCTGTAAAGAAGTTCTATTTAAATAAGGCAAGGGTTTAATCAGAAGGCACCAACTTTCCATTTAATGCAACGGTCATACCTACAATTCAGAATGGCACATGAGCCTCAAACTCTTTAACAGTCGAGTCAGTGCTGTACTTTAATGACAATGCAGCATAAAATACTCCCAACTTTTTGGTTGGCAATCACAAGTCACTGAGTAATTTCCCATCAGTTTACATCCCATTATAAGCTGGTCCTCCTCCACCTTCAGGCACTACCCAGTTAATGTTCTGACTTGGGTCTTTAATATCACAGGTTTTGCAGTGGACACAGTTCTGAGCATTTATCTGCAGTCTTGATCCATCTCCTGATTCCAGAGGAATATACTCATAAACTCCTGCGAAGAGCAAAGAGAGCTATCACTTCACTGAACAGTTTTTCCCTCTGCACGTGTGCTCAACTACTCCCCAGCGCGTGTAACGAGGGCAGGATATTACCAGTGTGATTTTACTGCCTGCTTCCAGGCTTACTAGCCATTTTGTCATCAAAGTACTGAACAGAATATATTTTAAGACCTGCACTTCAACCCTCTTCTAGGCAGAAGATGGGATCGAATGCCTGAAGTAAACAGTAGACCAGGTGGACTCCTAAATTTCTAAGACTTCAGTTGTGCAAAACCAGCTCAGACACACATTTTTATTACCTACCTGCTGGACAGAATCTTTACTCCTAAATTTCTAAGACTTTAGTTGTGCAAAACCAGCTCAGACACACATTTTTATTACCTACCTGCTGGACAGAATCTTTGTTCCGGTCCGTCGAATACAGCCAAATTCCTGCTCACGGGGACGCTGTCATCTTTCAGGGTTAAGTGAGCAGGCTGGTCGTGTTCATGGTTTGTACCACTTAAAGCCACAGATGACAGGAGATCAAAACTGATTTTTCCATCAGGCTTCGGGTATTCGATAGGCGTGCAATCTTTGGCTGGCTTGAGCTGAGCAAAATCTGGTCCTAAATAAATTTTTAATAAGTAAGTTTCAGTATAGAATTACTCTAATTTGCAGTTATTCACAAACAATTTAATTAAGATACTTTAACTTCCCTTTTATCAGAATAAAGTAGTAAAAAGTAGCTTTTTCCATGACAGAAAAACTATGCTAAGTATAACAGTGTTTTAATGTCTTCATTTACAGTAGATGCCAGGTAACAGGACAAGGTCTGCTTTGCTGCCTTATCACCAATTTCTTTTTTACACTATATGGCCTTGCCTCTTTACCAGATGTGCTCCAGCTTCAACTAAGACCAGAAAAGACTGACATACACATTTAGGATCTTCTTTGAGGAGGTAATGAAATTACCTGGATGTTTTAACGTCCACGGTTCCATTCCTCTCAGTATCCAGTAAAAGATCCCTGTGTAGATCATCCCTCCGTAGACACCCAGGACGCTGTGGCAGGAGGGGCGGATGTTCCTGACCGCATACAGCTCTTTCCAGACCCAGGACTTTTTCAGGTTCTCTTCATATTCTTGCACGTCAAGTCCTAAGGCAGTACATTACTTGTTAGGTACCTACAGTGCGTAAAGACTATCCTTGAAATAAAAAACAATTGCTGAATAAAGGCAACTGTTAGCAACGAAGGCAGCAAAATGAGAATTTCAGAACAACAAGGTAGGAACACACCACACAACATATCTCAGCCCCTTGCAGAGACCTGTTTTGTTGGCAGCTACCAGCAGTTACCTACTGCTCCTTTGTAGCTTCTATTAAATGACCCACAAGCAGCATTAAATTGCCTCAAACCCTTGAAAAATACAAAGATACCGGGCCAGGTGGGTACATTGGCACCTGTGGGAAACCAGCTACTCCCTCAGGAAATCTAAGAATCGACCAGGAGAGTTCACCTGTGGTCCAACAGCCAGGTTTGTAATTTTAATGTTGTCAAGTTCAAAACCTTTACAAGTCACACAACCACAAGCATTCTGATCTCAGTAACTGACTATGGCCCAGTGGATGATGCCAGTGTTCGAGAACAAGTTTTCTCCCTTTGTAATCAGCAAGTTAATGAGATCTGTTAGACTACAGACTTTTGATTTAAACTCTTTGATCGTATTCTTTACAAATACTAGACATTGCACGCATGACACATCTACTGCAGTGTAGTTAAAGTCAAGTAATTATCTTAGAAAAAAATACGCTTCTTCAAATGAAAATTTTCTGAGAGCTTCCCTGATTTAAACTCTTTGATTGTATTCTTTACAAAGACTAGACACTGCACACATGACACATCTACTGCAGTGTAGTTAAAAGTCAAGCAATTATCTTAGAAAAAAAATACGTTTCTTCAAATGAAAATTTTCTGAGAGCTTCCCCTTTATCATTCTCTATTACTACTGTACAGGAAGAGATGTTCTAAATACCAAGTTTTAAGCCTTGTCTACACATGACACCATACTTCAGTCCGTATTTTCTGTCTCATACGGCTCTGAAAAAAAGTTCATTATCTATGCACAGAGATGGGAACTGGGCTGTAATATTCTACTGTCTTGACAAAACTGGAAACAGCTTATAAAAGCTGTCTGTGATCCAACAAGAGCAGCACGCTGCCCAGTAAGAGCGTTTATTGTTTCAGGTGGTTCTAAGCATTTTAACACATCACACGAGTTGAAGTTTCAGTTGTTCAGCAAACGCTCTGCGGTAACGTGAACTGCATGTTTCAGCTGAACGAGAGCTCCCTAGCACTGAACCCAGGACTAGAGAGATTTCTAAAATAACCACCACGTGTCCATCTCCAGAATGAGTGAAATCCTAATTGGGTTCTCCCTCTCTGTACAGACTTTGTTAACAGATGTAAAGGAACAACCAAGACTTAAATGAATCGCTACAATGTGGTCAGGATCTGGGGATTACCAGAATTTGCTTGCATTACATGTAGTGGGAAATACACATAGTCTCAAATGGAGAAGACTATAAAATTCAAGAGAGTACTGAACAGAATATATTTTAAGACCTGCACTTCAACCCTCTTCTAGGCAGAAGATGGGATCGAATGCCTGAAGTAAACAGTAGACCAGGTGGACTCCTAAATTTCTAAGACTTCAGTTGTGCAAAACCAGCTCAGACACACATTTTTATTACCTACCTGCTGGACAGAATCTTTGTTCTGGTCCGTCGAATACAGCCAGATTCCTGCTCACGGGGACGCTGTCATCTTTGAGAGTTAAGTGAGCAGGCTGGTCGTGTTCATGGTTTGTACCACTTAAAGCCACAGATGACAGGAGATCAAAACTGATTTTTCCATCAGGCTTCGGGTATTCGATAGGCGTGCAATCTTTGGCTGGCTTGAGCTGAGCAAAATCTGGTCCTAAATAAATTTTTAATAAATAAGTTTCAGTATAGAATTACTCTAATTTGCAGTTATTCACAAACAATTTAATTAAGATACTTTAACTTCCCTTTTATCAGAATAAAGTAGTAAAAAGTAGCTTTTTCCATGACAGAAAAACTATGCTAAGTATAACAGTGTTCTAATGTCTTCATTTACAGTAGATGCCAGGTAACAGGACAAGGTCTGCTTTGCTGCCTTATCACCAATTTCTTTTTTACACTATATGGCCTTGCCTCTTTACCAGATGTGCTCCAGCTTCAACTAAGACCAGAAAAGACTGACATACACATTTAGGATCTTCTTTGAGGAGGTAATGAAATTACCTGGATGTTTTAACGTCCACGGTTCCATTCCTCTCAGTATCCAGTAAAAGATCCCTGTGTAGATCATCCCTCCGTAGACACCCAGGACGCTGTGGCAGGAGGGGCGGATGTTCCTGACCGCATACAGCTCTTTCCAGACCCAGGACTTTTTCAGGTTCTCTTCATATTCTTGCACGTCAAGTCCTAAGGCAGTATATTACTTGTTAGGTACCTACAGTGCGTAAAGACTATCCTTGAAATAAAAAACAATTGCTGAATAAAGGCAACTGTTAGCAACGAAGGCAGCAAAATGAGAATTTCAGAACAACAAGGTAGGAACACACCACACAACATATCTCAGCCCCTTGCAGAGACCTGTTTTGTTGGCAGTTACCAGCAGTTACCTACTGCTCCTTTGTAGCTTCTATTAAATGACCCACGAGCAGCATTAAATTGCCTCAAACCCTGGAAAAATATAAAGATACCGGGCCAGGTGGGTACATTGGCACCTGTGGGAAACCAGCTACTCCCTCAGGAAATCTAAGAATCGACCAGGAGAGTTCACCTGTGGTCCAACAGCCAGGTTTGTAATTTTAATGTTGTCAAGTTCAAAACCTTTACAAGTCACACAACCACAAGCATTCTGATCTCAGTAACTGACTATGGCCCAGTGGATGATGCCAGTGTTCGAGAACAAGTTTTCTCCCTTTGTAATCAGCAAGTTAATGAGATCTGTTAGACTACAGACTTCTGATTTAAACTCTTTGATTGTATTCTTTACAAAGACTAGACACTGCACACATGACACATCTACTGCAGTGTAGTTAAAAGTCAAGCAATTATCTTAGAAAAAAAATACGTTTCTTCAAATGAAAATTTTCTGAGAGCTTCCCCTTTATCATTCTCTATTACTACTGTACAGGAAGAGATGTTCTAAATACCAAGTTTTAAGCCTTGTCTACACATGACACCATACTTCAGTCCGTATTTTCTGTCTCATACGGCTCTGAAAAAAAGTTCATTATCTATGCACAGAGATGGGAACTGGGCTGTAATATTCTACTGTCTTGACAAAACTGGAAACAGCTTATAAAAGCTGTCTGTGATCCAACAAGAGCAGCACGCTGCCCAGTAAGAGCGTTTATTGTTTCAGGTGGTTCTAAGCATTTTAACACATCACACGAGTTGAAGTTTCAGTTGTTCAGCAAACGCTCTGCGGTAACGTGAACTGCATGTTTCAGCTGAACGAGAGCTCCCTAGCACTGAACCCAGGACTAGAGAGATTTCTAAAATAACCACCACGTGTCCATCTCCAGAATGAGTGAAATCCTAATTGGGTTCTCCCTCTCTGTACAGACTTTGTTAACAGATGTAAAGGAACAACCAAGACAATGTGGTCAGGATCTGGGGATTAGCAGAATTTGCTTGCATTACATGTAGTGGGAAATACACGTAGTCTCAAATGGAGAAGACTGTAAAATTCAAGACAGAAAAAGAGGACTGAAGGAAAGAAGTCTCATAGCAATTAACAAAACGCTGCAGAGCAAACTCGAAAAATCTCACACTGTTTTGCTTACACTTTATGTGTTGGTTTTAATTGTTTTCCCTCTGATTCTGCAGTCTTTCAGTAACATTTTCTGAATCACAAAGTTCTAATTTTTAACATATTTGTAGGAAGAAAACATATACTATTCTTCTCTACATATAGAAGAAGTGTAAGCTTACTTTTCAGATGCTCGTTAGAGACACATTTTTGTTCTAGTGGTAGGATGAATACTTAAGAATAACTAAGCAAAACTTCATTAATTTGTTTCCTAAATCATTTAACAATATATAGAAGAAGTGTAAGCTTACTTTTCAGATGCTCGTTAGAGACACATTTTTGTTCTAGTGGTAGGATGAATACTTAAGAATAACTAAGCAAAACTTCATTAATTTGTTTCCTAAATCATTTAACAATATAAATCGTAAATAAAGAATAGACATCTTTTTAAATCACCACATTCGTTTCATGATTTATTTGCATTCCCAACTAATTCCTTCAGATACATTTAGTTACCCCTGAACTGCTGGTGGTTCCAATTGAATACAAGGTAATTACAAAGCAAAGTATAAATTACAGACAAAGTGCTGTCTTACCTATTGTCTTTGATTGGAGATTTTCATTGATTAATTGGCTAAAGATGGCTTCTGAGGCCAACATGCCACTTTTCATTGCAGTGTGTGTCCCTTTGATCTTGGGAACATTCATGAGTCCAGGACTGCAACCAATTAATAATCCACCTGGGAAGGTGAGTTTGGGTATTGACTGAAAAAGAAACAGGAAAAAAGGTGGTTTGTTGTTGTTTGTGCTTTTTTTAAAGTGAAATTAACATTCTGGAAATGAAACTGGCATGAAGCTTGAGTGTCTTTACATTTTTAGACCTGCATGTGCACTGTCTAAAAATACACCAGTGTCACTCCCCTATTTTTTTTTGCATAGTAAGCAAATACAAATACAGCCTTTGTACTGCAGCTGAGTATAAAATAATGACAAGACATTTTCCTTATATCCTCTCTCCAGTTGCTTTGTCTGCAACAAGACTGTGACAATGTCACCCACCAGTACCGTTTTCCTCCTCCAAGTTTAAATTAATTCTTTATTAAAAAAAAAAAAAAAAAGATATTTGTGTTCCCATTTTCCACTCAGTAAGTTACATGTTTCTCATCTCTAAGTTTATTATCAGTGCTTTTTTCCTCAAATCTTTTCTGTCAAACTACAAAGTATCCTCCCTCGTCTCCCTCCAGGTCTCACTTGTTTTAGGAGTTAGTCAGCAGCCAACATGTGCATTTTTGGTGCAAAAATTGTTGTCTTACTCCCTCTGTAAGAAGCACAATGTCATGGAGGGCAGTCAAGTCACAAACCTAAGCCAGCCAGATGATCTGCAAACATCCAATCTGTGGTATTAATATACTATGTTATATGGCTATGGATATATGGACTATATCTAACTATGGAATACTTCAACTATTAAGACAGTTACTCTCACCCTCATCCAATGAGATTAAGATTTTAGACAATGATGGAGCACTGACATAGGCATAAGGACATGGACCTGTTGGCGCAAGTCCAGAGGAGGGCCACAAAGACGATCAGAGGGCTGGAGCACCTCTCCTATGAAGAGAGGCTGAGAGAGGTTGGGTTGTTCAGCCCGGAGAAGCGAAGGCCCCATTCCCGTACCGAAAGGGGCCTACAGGAAAGATGGGGAAGGACTCTTTATCAGGGAGTATAGTGATAGGACAACGGGTAACTGTTTTAAAGTGAAAGAAGGGAGATTTAGATTAGATCTTAGGAAGAAATTCTTTCCTGTGAGGGTGGTGAGACACTGGAACAGGTTGCCCAGTGAAGTTGTGGATGCCCCCTCCCTGGAGGGGAAGTGCTCAAGGCCAGGCTGGATGGGGCTTTGAGTGACCTGGTCTAGTGGGAGGTGTCCCTGCCCAGGGCAGGGGCTTGAAACTAGGTGACCTTTAAGGTCCCTTCCAACCCAAACCATTCTATGAGAGAAATATTTCTTGACTAACTCTACAAATTACATAAGAAGATGGTCATCAGGCATTTTTCTTCTGCAACAACTGTTTCACTTAATATGTACTTAGTGACCAACATACTGTCAAAGTATGTTACATTAGTCATATAACACAAAAGGTTACACATACTGCAGCTTCGTTAGTAATTCTCATTATTAGCACTGTGGCACTTGGTGCCCGTTTTCACAGTCAGTTTACTGAACTGAAGGAACACATCATGCCAGCATGGCACAAGCCCTCACTGCCCCTGAGATACAGGGTGAAATCCTTTCAGCCTTGAGCACCTGAAGAAACCATCACACTCCTGGCAACAGACAGACAGAACGAGGCTGGTTTGGAGGAGGGAAGAAGGAGAGACTCCTGCTTCCTGCAGAGTCCTCCCCCATTGTGGACAGGGAACCCCACATTCTCCTCCCCTTTGCTCAGCTCAGGGTTGAAAATCTGTTAAGTGAGTCTAGTGTTTGACACTTGCATGGGTCATTGATGTGAAGGTTTTTTCCCCCTGATATTCTTAATATACATTGCCCAAGAACAGCAACACTTTTTTCTTTTTCCCCACAAAGCTCTTACATCTTTAACTATGTAGATGTAGTCTATTAAACTCTGCACCCTCCCTCCACATATCCCAAAAAGCTAAGAAATCAGGGGAACATCCAAGAGCTCTCTCTTTCACCAACTTGGCATCACTGTATGTTAAAGACTAAAGAACACAGAATCACAGAATGGTTTGGGTTGAAAGGGACTTTAAAGATCATCAAGTTCCAGCTCCCCTGTCATGGGCAGGGACACCTCCCACTAGACCAGGTTGCTGAAAGCCCCATCCAGCCGGGCCTTGGGCAACTTGGTCATAAAGTTATCTATAACAGGCAACAAAAATTAGATTGATGGTAATTTTTATATACCTATTTGATGCAATACTGTCACCAAAATGAAAACTGGTGCTACAGAACTACTTACATAAGAAAATATTCCTGGACTCCAGTGATGCAAATGAGTCAGACTGCTACAGTTATTAATCAAAGCAACACATGCAAAAGAAGAGCTAAATCTTCCTAAGTGACTCATGAATAAAGCTTTTTTTTTACTGAAAGCATGTATTAAAAAAAGCCATTTAAAAGTGTGACTTCATGATTAACTAGACAATTCTATCTACAGGAAATGAAAAACCCCCAACAACTAGCAAACCTCATGGTTTTATATTAGGAACAGTGCAAACTAAGTGACATGTTTTAAGTCCAGCAAAGAATTCCAAAGACTAGGCAGAGATGCCCAAGAGTTGTAGTCCTACTGTCTGTGTAACTTAGCACAAACAACATCTGTAAGTGACTTAAAAAATACCATGTTCTTTCAGCCATATGTTTCGAGCAGAATAAGGAGTATGCAACTGAAATCACAATCTGGCTGCTTCATCAAAGCCAGAAATTCAACAATGACTATCTGTGATAGAGCAACCAGTGCACAGGGTGGAAAGAGAAGCCCCTCTTATGTAAAATCTAGATTAAAACATCTTGGCATTTTGTATCTTATCTGAATTAATAATGGACTGACAATGGCTTCTGAAATAAGCTAGTAACACAGGTGTGTTATAACATGATATGAATGACATATTTCCACTTGAGAGTGGTCAAAGTAATCAACCTGCAGACTGAATAAAGGTGTATCACATGCATAACCACGAAGCTGCTTCATGAACCTACATGACTTTTTCCCAGGCACACACACTGGTGTCAAAGCTTAACTCCACAGGACTGTGACAAGAGTATTGCTGCTGCTGAAATTCTATTTGTATTCCAAAGCTGCACAAAATCACGTAAACCCTGAAGAAGAGGTTCAAAAAAGACAGACAAAGTAGTCAAAGAGGAGAGTGGAATGGCCCCACGTGCAGGCTCTGGATCATGAACGCTCAAGCTAGTTTTAAGTAACCCACAAATAAAGCCCTTTGAGTGGTCCTACCTTCTCTTCCCCAAGGTTCCAGGCACAACAAAGAATTATCTGTACCTTCTTTGCTGGACACATTTGATTGCAATATGAACTCTACTTCATATTTCATTTAGAAAGTAAAGTGACTAGGTTTTTAGTATGACAGAGTCTAAGTCTAGCAAATCTCAGCAGCCAGTATCCAGCAAGATAACAAGGATTTTCTGTCCAGCAAAACTTCTGGCTTTATTCATCTTTGCTATAGTTCAGTTGTTTCCCAACAACATGCAACTTGAACCTACAGCACTAAAAACATGGCTCTAGAGAGCTCAAAACAAAAATCTTCATGAAAAGGTTACCTGGAAACCACCTTCATTCAATGCTCTGGCACCATAGGCAATCCTTGTTCCACCTTCCAAAGTAGGCTGTACGCTAGGATGGTGCTTCCACCTCTGAAACTCCCTAAATGGATTCAAATAGGGATTTTGATAATCTAAACCAACCTTTAAAAACAAAAAAAAAGTTGCAACATTACTGAAAATAAAAGTAAGGAATTTCAACAAAAGTTTGCAAAGAAAACAATCACATATTACCACATCAGCTCTTTAAATCTACTTTATACTCAACCAATCTCAGGATCTTTCTACTTGGAGAAACTACTGCCAAAATTACATTCTATTAACAGTATAGTAGAAGCAAATCTGAGAATTTGCTGCCATAATACTCTTCTCTGCCCTACCTGGAACCTGAAGCATGGAAAACATTCAATTGCATTGTAACCATCTTCCATCTGTCTTTGAAATAAAATAGTGAAATTAAATTAAGTATGGTTTAATGGGCACGATAAGCAAGAAAATTTGTTTTAAATTTGTGTTTCAAAACCTCTTTGCCCTAGAAAAGCTGGAAAAAGAGGTAAACAATTATTTCTAGATAGTTATGTCCTTGCGGTTGTGTATTTTAAACAGTTCTTCACATCGTTTAGCAGAGTGAATTACCATTTCCAATTAGGTGAGCCATTGTAGTAAAGCACAGGGGAGCAATGAAGAAAGCAGAAACTGGGGGAAAACGACCTTGCCAAATGGCTGGATGCCTAGGATTCTTATTTTATTTGAGAATTTGCTGAAAGATATATTCGGCATTTCCCATCTTTAAAATATTCTTAAAAGGACCTAGATTGCCCAATTTTCTCTTTTGAGAAAAGGGTTATTTCTGGTTCCTGTAAACTTTGAGACAAATAACAAAATAAATCATGAGTCAACAACAAACAGTACCTTGATTTCTCTGACAGCTCGCTGCTTTTTGACCACTGCTGGCATCTACTACCTTTGCTGGATAATGAACAATATTCAAAACAAGTGCAAGGTAACCCTACTACAAAAATCAGCTCAGACTGACATGGGTGTAAAGTTCAAAGACAAAAAAGTTGATTTTCTCCTATCTAAACTGGAGATAACATAAACATTACTGACTTCCATCCTCTGTAAGAATCAAAGTCCTCTGCACTTCTAAAAACAGAATTTGAATGTCTACTGTCCGTACTTATTAATTCCAATATTGGAAATCTGCACAGGACAGGTATGCATGTCTGAGAAAACCTAACAAGTTTTCTTAATTTTTCTTACAGAACAGCTAAACAAAAATAGAGCTTTCACCACACACACTCTGGAATCCTTCTGAAATCTAGAAGCCCAAAGAGTCATCTCAGTCCCACCCTGCTAAAAGTCCAGATTGTGTCCCTGACTCTTACAACTTTTCTGTGTAAAGCACATGCACAGAATAAATAGTACACACTTTATTTAGGACTGCAGGTGCTAGAAAAACATTCTCTACTTTTGCTCCTTGCATCAGTGGCTGGCAGAACAACACAGTTTCTCTCTAGTGATCTCAACGCTTCTGATAAAGAGGCAGTAAGAAGGAAGAAGCTGCCTGCCCGATTCAGAAAGACAGCTGCTAAAGAGGGCCAGTCAAATATGGGTGAAGAATGATGAGAACAAACTGAAGATCTCAGAAATGGAAGGGATGCTGCTTGTGGAACCACAGAGTGCTTCCACTTCATATGCTTCTCTCATAAAATCCATATGGACCCAAGGTTGTCGCACGAATGAGGAAACCGAATTGTACAAAGTAGATGGGATTTAGATATTTCCTAACTTGCAAAAGTTTTGTGAGCACAGTTTTGATTAATCATGTGGTGTTCACTTTGCCAAAATTTGTTTGGTTTGCAAAAAGATGTATATGTAAGTTTTCCATTTTGTTTTTAATAAAAGACACTGGATTAAAGACAGATCAATATGACAAATTAACCTTCCCTAATATGAGGGTAAACATACTTAAGACTGAGAAAATACTAAATTTGGCCTGCTGCTATTCTTGTGTTTTCATCTTCACATTAAAACAGAGAAAAGAAATCACATAAATATGAAGGCCAAAGAACAACCAACAAGCATGAAAAAACCAACTTCACTTACCACAAATCCAAGAGCAACCAAAGGTTCACCCTCATTTAAATGGTAAAGGAAAGATCCTCCATATGTATGTCTGTCTAAAGGCCAGCCTACAGTATGTTCTACTCTTCCTGGTTTCCATTTCTTTTCATCTATAGTCCATAACTGAAATGAAGATCAGAAAAAAATTTACTTTCTATTGCAAAGTAATGGCCTTTCAATAATTGTGTGTTTGCCTTTTATTATATTAAGTACAGAAGAAAGTTAATTTACTGCTATGACCAATGCATAAATTCATACAGCAAAAATACCAGGTAATAAGTAGAAATACCTGTTTTGGATTACCATTTAAGAATTTCCTAATACTTCTCTTTCTTGAAATATTGTGCATCAGAAAGCATGACTGCATTATGCCCAAAACTTTCATTCAACCACATATTACTGACTTTGATAGATACTTCTTTATATTAGTGACTTTGATAGATAACTCTCCTAAGGAATGCAATGCTTACTCTTTTCTTTAAGAACTTTACTTTTTCATATGAATCACTGCAACAAGTGTTTCAATATAAGTCCTAACAATATGTCTGAGTTGATCCAACCATTTGCTGTCAAACAGGCTGTCCTCTCTCTGCTCTCTCCTACACATCTCCAGTACCCATGTGACCCACGGTGAATTCACAGAAGCGCTTTCATGTTTCCCCGAGCAACTCAATTTCCTGCTCATTTCACAAAACATGTCTTCACCATGGAGTTATGTGCCAGGTGCAGTCTAATGACAGAGGGCAGTGGAGCACCCTTAGATCAGCTCAAGCACGGAGGGCACATCTACGTTCATGTTCCAGCTTTGATTAAGAAGCACGTTGCTGAGCGGGACTCCTGACTGCTCCCACTTGCTGTGCTTTGGTGCACACCGTACAGCAGCCATGGAAGGCATGAACTGGATGCCTTTCACAGGAAACTAAACTGTAAGACAAGCTCCAGAAGCCCATCTAAAGCATTCCAGTCACGAAAGGACATTCAGTCCATGGGACTACACCAAAGCTAGTCCAAAGTAAAAATAACCCTGAAATGTGCACAGTATGCATATCAGCTCATGAGCACCAACTATTCCTCTTCACAGATCCATTCCTATTGGACTTTACTGTTTGCTAAAGCAGACCCAGTCTCATCTGGAAGCAGAGGAACTCTACAGCAAAACCCTGCTTTAATGACAACTCAGGTATTAGAAACTGTAATTGAGACTATGTCATATATAGGAACATTTACAGAGTGGTTAGTCTGTGCAGAAGTGTAAACTGAGTATTTAACAAATATTTTGTAACTGGAAGCAAATGCTTAAAGTAGTAAGTAAAGAGTATGCTATAGTCAAACTCTGAACATATTATAAGTAATACAGCTCTTTTTCATTAATGGTATTTTCCAAGTACAAAATATTTCAAAAAGGAAAACCAATCCTTATCCTATTTTTATAAGACCAGTGAAGGTATTTTGGGGTAAAAAAAAAAAAGGTCATCCAGAAGGTGTTCCAGAGAGCATGAACTGCCATTTTCTTTCTCTCTCTCTCTGCCTTATGAATATACAGAAAATCCATCGAAAGCCTGTCCTCCCTTCCACAGGTAGTAAAGCCCCTTAAAATTTGGCAGCACGAATGCCTCTCTCATTTGGTAAAAGTACTAAAAACAAATTTCAGAAATGAATGTAAATTAAAATCAAACTAAGATGATAACAGAGTGAACTCATGGGTAACTAGTTATAACAGATGTAAGAGAAGCAGTAGCTGAAACAAAACAGTCACAACATTCAGGGAGCATCTTCTGTGATCAGCTTCAGAACAGCAAAGATTCTGAAGTCTGAAAGCGTAACTCAAAATCTATCATTCTAATGTCTTACATAAACCAGCTTGAAGGCAAACAGAAACTACCTTACAGCTTCACAGTACTTTCCTTAATTGTTAAAATTACGCAGCTGATACCTCTTTCAGTCCAATGCCATAGCTCTGGGGTTGACACTTCTCCCTTAGATTGTATTTTTTGTACAGCTGTTTGGCTAGATGCCCATGACAACCTTCAGCGAAGACCGTGACTTTGGCATGGAGTTCCAAGCCTCTTTCAAAGGTAGCCTGCAAAAGTAGAACATTTCATCAGCACTTAGATCTGTGCCACACCAAACTCATAGCAAGAAACTGGGGGATAATAAAGTGATTTTACACTACTCTATGGCACTGCCCAGAACCTGCAAACCATTGCAAGGTATGGTTCCAGTTGTCTTTTCCACCCAACCATGATGCACCCCTGGCAAACGTTGTAAGGGGATTCCAGTAGAGCAGCACTACAGTGAATTGCTAGTCATTACTGAAAAAGAGAATCTTTTCCAGATTAGAGGATATTGATACTGCATCTGCTTGTTCATGTGGTGTAAAGGAACCCTGACAGGACAAAGAATCTTAACCTACAACTTCACTCTAATTTTTGCTTATGAAGTCACATTCAGTAAAATATTGTGTGCATCCCCCATCCCCCCATATGACAGACACACCAGATCAGAAAAACCTGCATCATCCTCACCCCCAAGAGAACCCACTACCTCTGAATAAAGTTACTATAATATTACACCAATCTAACTTGTTAAAACATACAGTAAAATTAAACTAACATTAAGTATGATGATAAAAAAAAAAATTCTCATCAAAAATTCCAACAATGAGATTGAGAATAAGTGGAACCAACATACTCATGTATGAGCGTATCAACTGCACATATAAGTGCATTGGATGAGAGTACTACTAGACTATATTTGCAATGTTGCAATGTATTTGCAAGATTCTAAATATACATATTCTTGCAGGGAAAAAAAAAAAGAAAATGCTTGATTTGAGATAAAGTTTAATGTAGAAAAAGGTAATGAAAACAGTTTTGGATTAAGATATCCAGCAGTACCCAATAAAACCATCCAAAGGTAATCCAGCATATGTCCAGGAGAAGCTTATTGCTTTGGCTTTAAATTGTCTCTCAGGTGAAATCTTTTAACTCAGTGGTTGGAAACCTCTGAAAAAGGCTAACAAATAAAAATGCTCTAGTCGGGAATTATCTTTAAATAGGAGTTAAAAGATTTTGCCAATTTCTAATTGTCAACATGAAAATTAATCTTACAAATTACTAAGAGACCTACAGGGACAACTTATTACTTGATCTAAGGATTAAAAATACATACTGTCTAATTTGAAGTAGATTCATATAAAAATAAATCAGTTACTACAACTCCATGCTGTAAATGTCAGAAATTCATTAATTTGAAAAGTTTCAGCAATGTGACAAAGTTGTTTTTCACCGTTAACATCCTTCTCCAGCGTCTACACAAGAATCAACGGGCAACTTTTTACTACAGAATTTTACCATTGACGTTTTCGTTTGATTGGTGCTGACTGCAAGGTGAAAATCTATTCATTAACCACACTCTATTTGATTAAGCTCTGTACAAACACAATGAAGATATTCTTGCATTGAAGGTTACACAAACTATGTTTATTTACCTGAACTTTTATATTCTGGAGGTTTTATCAGCTGACCTAACTGACTGTTAAAAAGTTTGAATACTCAAAAAGTTTGCAGTAGTGGCACACTAATTATGTACGTTATAGAAGGCAATAGACACATTCTTCCAGAATAAATGAAATAAAAATATATCTAGGTTTTGAGGATGCTTAAAAAAAAAACCAAACAAAACCAAACCTAGTTCCTTCCCACTTTAAAACAAAACCAACCCAAACCCCCAATTAATCTTCATTACTGTGCCACATTGTACGCGTGACTTGCGCCTCCTACTGGAGAAAATGCATATCTGAAAACAGGAGCCTGCGTGTCCCCTACGAGGCACAGACAACACTGTCTGTATTGTAAATATATTACTTTTCCTTGCCATCACTTCCTCCTCCATTGACTATATTCTCTCAGAACAAGAATGAATCTTCCCTTCTCATCCCCTGCCTTGAAGGGAAAAAAAGCCCACGCTTTCATATGAAAGTAAATACCTCTTCAAAACTCTACGTAACTAGTAAGAAACCTTATAAAAGAAAGTAAATCTTAAGAAAAAACTTGCACCCATAACTTATGTAGCCAAATAATTCCCTGTGAAAGTTGCTCTGAGTTATTCTGAGGTGCCAAATTCTCCACACATATTGCACAGGGAAGCAACACGCTTACCACAAGTTCTACATTCCACTAAAGATCAGCCAAAGTCCGACACTTAGGGCAGAGAATCACCTTCTGGACACAGAAATGTGACCAAACAGCAAAAAGGTACAAAGATTCAATGTGTAACTTGTCCCAGCAAGGTAGACAGACTGTCAACAAATGTGACTGCAGTTGTAAATATCAAAGAAAACAGATCAGCCAGAAGCACACTTCTTGCATGTTGCCAGTTACCAGCTGGACAACAGCTTCCTATTTCACCTTCACACCTTTTTTCTAGGAGTTCCTGTAATCCTTTCCTTTGTTTCCAGATTTTACATATGCCAAAGCACCCTTGCAATATTTCCTTAAGTCACCCTCAACCAAACCTCCTTCCTGCAAAGGTTTTTTCTAGTGATCTTAGAAGAAGTTCACAATGTTTTGAGACCAGAGCGTTCACATTTTTTATACAGAGAGGGAAGACAGGTACATTTTCTCAGGCTGCAGCAAGACTACTGATAGCAGTAGAAGCAGATATACCACAATTTCCATAATTAGACCTCTAGTTATGGGGAAGACAGCTACTTACTTTAGGTGCTCCATCCTTCTGGATGCCTACGTCATTAGTTGCTATCCCTTTCACGCTACCATCTTCATGAAAAAGAACCTTTGGAAATATTTAAACAAACAAATGAAACGTTTGAATGATCTGTCATCTGAATCCATTCATAAAAAGTTTTGATACAGAACTTCTAAGCACTATGTCTTTAATGGTCAAACTTGAAAATTACGTATTTATTAGCATATTAGTCACTTTCACTTTGCTGGATCTGGGCCAGGGAACTTAGACAATGAAACAGTTTCCACAATAGGCTTCTTTTAAGAGGAATGTTGTGAATGTACAAATAAACTGGGAGTTGAGTGAATGGGGGGGTCAAAAAAAGCTCCTCATATACACATTGATGTGATTATTACCTCAGCTGCTGCATAGCCTGGATAAATTTCAACACCCAAAGCTTCTGCTTGTTCGCCGAGCCAACTCACAAAGTGGCCCAGACGGACAATGTAATTTCCATGATTAACCATTGGAAGTCCTAAGCAAAAAAGACACACACACATAAGAAGCAGAACACTAAGCAAAATAACAACAGTTGTATACATCAGATGTCATATCTTCTTCTACAACTTCTGTCTTCACAATCATGTCATACATTATTATAGCCATCATCTAACACTGGAAGCAACTATGTTCTCCATACACTTGCTATACCACATTGAATCAAATCAATTGTTTCATTCATGGAAAAGTTGAAAAAGACACAGAGAAAGATGATCTTTTACCACTTCACCAAACGTTACCTGGAAGAATTGGCACTGGAATTCTAGATTTCTTTGTTAAAATTCCAAACTTGTCTTCAGTTACAGGAGTATTAAGCGGAGCCTACATAAAAAAAGAAAATAGAAACAGTACAAAAAGTTATGTTTTTCTTGCCAATCCAACAAAACCAGCAACAAACAAAATAAAACTATCAAACCAGCAGTCCATTGAAGGTTTAATAAAGCACTTCTATAGGAAAGTATCGTAAGTACTTTATGTGGCAGTCATTAGGCAAGAATCAACACAACTATTGAGATAAAAAAAATAGGAACAGAGCCTTACAAATCACTTCTATAGTTTGTACTACATCAGTATTCTAGACCTTTCTAAAGCAGGTAGCTCAACATGCATATTTATCCTGGTAACAACTAGTCAACGGCGCACTTGCAGCTCCCAGGTGACAGCAAGCTGCAAGTCAGATGGCTCTTCTGGCAGAGATGACAGCTCGTGTCTTGCTATTCTCTGTCCTAGAAGCATCTCAGGCCTCTGTTACACCACTATGTGCGCACAGAAAACAGCGTACTCTGCACCTTTTCCTCAGACTATGAAAAAAATATTGTACAGAAGCCCCAAGTCTGGCATTGCTGAGAATCGACCACCTTATTGCCTGTGCACGGGAGCTGGACTCTGCACAACCAGCAGCGCATCCCGGCAGGCACCAGGCACCCCGCACATCTGCAGTAAGGACACTATGGAAAAGAGCAGAGGCCACAGCAAACCTGGGTAGACCTAAAACTTCAGCATTGTCAAATTAGGACAAAAACTAAAAAGGAGGTAGGGTTTTTTGTTGTTTTGACAGATCAACACATTTTAAAACGGTACTAAGTTGTACCAGAATGAGTCAGATAGAGAGTTCATTACAAACTATGATTAACTGCAGCATTTATTTGCTCATACATACCCCCCGTTCTTTCCAGTCTGGAAAGAGCTCTTCTAAGGACCTTGGCTCAAGACAAGCACCAGAGAGTGTATGTGCACCAATCTGAGAAGCCTTTTCCACCAGACAAACACGTATTTCTTTGCTGTGCTCAGCAGCTAACTGTTTGAGTCGAATCGCTGCTGAAAGACCCGCAGGGCCTCCTCCAACAACGACCACATCAGCTTCCTCTGCAAATCTTTCCATGTTTACCCCTTTAATAGAAAAAAAACATAAACCAATGAAAAACATAAACCAAAAAAAAGTAAGATAAACCAATGTCCAATTTCCCCCAGCCTCTCTCTCACTAAACCTTATTCTGCGATACAGGCTACTGGGTATCCCAGAAGCACTACTTTGCATAAAAAAAGGCTAAATATTCAACAGAATCCCTACGTGGAAGATTGCAGAAAGACATTAGTATGACAACGTAAAATTAGCTCTTTTAAAGTTGTAAGGAGATATACTATAAAAACATATACTTGGTCTCTATGTACCGTAAGTAAGCATCATCTTAGAACATTAAACTTAAGTTGGCTAGCTCTATCAAAGACACTCAGTGAAACTGTATGTAAGAGAGAAAGAAAAGAAAAGAAGATGCTCAGTCATATCATGTGACTTTATTTCACACTGATTATCAGTGTCTTTTCTAGAATTGAAGCCATTAAAATTGCTGAATGTAGAGACTGGGGTTCCCAGAGATATATATTAATCTTATTTTCTCACAAACTCTCATGGTAAGAACTAAGAAAATCCAACAGATACATACCTGACACAATTAAATCTTGTTGTGATAGTCACTAAAGCAAAAGCTGCTTATAAATTTTCTTTAAATAACTAGGATCAAGTTAAATCTGATCCCGTTATACAGCACTAAAGACACTCATTGTGAGATAGCAACCACAACATTTGATTTGGAATATTAGTATTGTATTTAAGAGTACAGAACTTCTGTAAAAAGAAAAAAACAGCAACACATTTCAGTGTCTTTATTGTTATTATTGCTCAGTTTTAAAGAAACATTGAAAGTATACATTTTTTCACTTACCTTCCCATCGTTTGTCTTTGTCCCGAGGGTGAATTGTATAATGCGTGGTTATGCGAGGCACAGCGGCAGCAGATGCACATCTTGCAATATGCAGCGATGGAAGGCGGTCTCTCTTTATCAACTTTAGGGCATGAAAGCACTGACGTACTGCAAAAACAAGAAACAAATTTGTCAAATGAGTAATTTTCCAAATTTTTGTCTCTGACTTTTCAGAGACATGAGTGGCACAATACATTTGACAGCTCCCCCCCCCCAAGGCTACCAGGTGATGTCAATATGAGGAACTATAAACACAGTTTTTAAATTTTCAAGTTAGGAATTGCTGTATAATTTTATACCAGAAAAAAAAAAAAAAAAAAAAAAAAAAGGAGTAAAGGCCTTGCCCTGTAGCATTCTTCACATAATACCACCCACCTGTGACAGCTGACATAGGATAACATGTATACACAGGTGAAACACATTTTAAATTCCCATTTCACTTCGAACTTCAAAAGATTTAGTTCAGACTTCACTTAAAGTTACTGAACAACATAGAGATGGGACATGCAAGTTCATCCCTTCTGACACCTCAACACATTTTGAGGCACAATTTGGGCTACTGACAATAGACAGTTCATCTAAAGTAAATGTCATGGTCCACTACAAAAGCTCAGACTCAAAACCAAGTATACATTAGTCAAAGCTGGGAAGAGGAGATACAGTGAATCTCTACCTTTGGTGCAGATACATTGTTGCAAGAACGAATTAGAATTTCTTTTTAAGCAAATGGACCAAATGGAATTTTTAAATTATAAAAATAAGACTCTTCAAAAGGGCTATTACATGTCACATCCGTGTTCTAATTTTCCTCTTTCACAAAAAAAATATGAAGATGTGTGTGATTTATACTCGGAAAACTAGTATGTTTAGCACCAAAACTAGTTATAGTTAAAAGGTCTGTCAACTAATGCACCATGACAGGTATCTTTCCTTTCTTTAAGGATTCCCTTTGTCTAATTTCAGGGATGAAGGAGGAGAATACTGTATTTAAAACAGAGTATTTCTGCAAGACTCATATTTAAAATCACCAACACTCTAGGACTGAAATGTTTTATTGAGAATAGTGATTGGCAAGGCCAGCACAAACACCCTCCACTATAACTCCTCACAGTGACAGTCAGGGTACTGGTCTCTATGTGCAAGATAATAAGTATTATCTACGTTGGTTTCTTAGCAGGAGTTTTGTATTTAACAGACATAACATAAAAGCTATTCTCATACCATCTCATGACTCTTAATTATCATTTATCTGCAACGAGACAGGATTTGAGAACCAGTAATATACCTTATAAGCATAATAACAGCTACACCTATACATCTACATTAAAACATAGCACCCAAACTTAATTTTTGAGATATTTTTATTTGAGCAGACCTGACGGTACTATGAGTTACACGGTATAGTTTAAAAATGCCAATTAGCTCAGACACACACAGAGGAAGTGATATTCAGCTCAGAATATACCCAGTAATGACAAAGGTAGGTCCGAGCTCTGGACAGGTATGTTCTTCACAGAGAGGAAACTGAGCTTGTGCCACCAGGCTGCTGAGAGCCAGCTCGGTGCCCTGGAGTTAAACGTTTGCACAAAGCAAGCAAGATTTAAGAAACTTTACTCTTCTGCAGCTCCTTAACAGCCGCTCGCCCTGCCATCGCTTCGCCAGCGAGGGCACGGGTACAATCGCTTTATTTTCACCCTTTGGAAGGGGTGACACCCAGCACCACTCCGAAAAACATTACATTTTCGGTGCTCGCCGTGCCAGGCCGGTGAGACGCGCCGCCAGACCGCGGCTGGGACCCGTCCGGCGCTGCCGCCGCTCCGCCCCCGCCGGGAGCACCTTCAGGCGCAGGGACGGAGGCCGCTGGGCTGGACTTGGGGGGGCCGTGGCGGCGCCGCCGCTGACACCCACTGCGGGGCATGGCCCTCGCACACGGGACCCCCCACTTTGCCCACAGGATCATCCTCCCCGGTCCCTGTCCCGACCCCGCTGCCGCCCGGGCGCGCCCCAGCCGCGACCTTTGCTCTCCCTCGGCGCCGCGCCACCCACCGGCCCGGCCCGGCCCGTCCCGTCCCCGCCCCGCCAAGTGGCGGCCGCCCCGGCCCCAGCACCGTCCCCTCGGGACGCCCAGCCGCCCCCGGGGCGAGCCGCCGCGTTACCTCGGCTGGAGGACGGGCAGCGACACAGCAGCATATCGGCGGCGGCAGCAGCACAGGCCCACGACCCCCCTCCGCGCCCTCCACTCCCCGCGACCGCCCCCGGCCAGGCCGCGCCTGCGCACT